TTCAAGTACGCAATGTAACAAATCGAACTGCTGCACTTCCGTGCTGAGTTCTATGTAAAAATTCAGTCAGTCAGCATTTGTCACTGAAGCTGCCTAGTGTCACAGTCCAATTATTATCAATGCATTTTCGCAATTCCTTAAACTGTCCAGATAAAGTTCACGGAAGAATAAACCATTAACCAAAAGTCAGTAACATGGACATAAGAAACAGTGTGGATAGAAGTGAATGAGATGAGTGATTTTTATCCCTGTAGCACGCCTAACTAAGATACTCATGTATGTAAATGAAGCAAAAAGTTGTGTGACTGATTATAAGCAATAATTTGTGCTCAAAACTTCATCAGATAATATTACTGTACAACAACACTGTGTGATTTATGAAAATGAAATCTTATCCATAATGGAGTTATACTCTACCACAGTGCTTATCTTATCTTATGCACTGTGTCTTCTACTTGTTTCACTTTTGTCTTCCTCATTGCAGGTTGTCAGTTTTCGTAGATGTTCTACTAGATGTCGTCATACACAGTGTCTGAAAGCAAGACTTTTACACGTTGCTGTGAAGTTTCCCTGTAATAACATTCCCTACATAATAAATACAGTGCTTGTGATAACAATCCGTCATTATCTAGTATACAATTGGTGGATGGTGGCTAGCAGTGGAATCCAGGATGAGCATTTCGTCCTATTTGGGACTCGTCAGCTGGATGTACCTGCATTTCTCAGTGAGTGATGATGTTCCCACCGAGGCTCGAACCCAGTACCCATAGTTTCAAACGCCAAAGCGTTATCCACTAGACCACTTGGGCCACGAGAGCCACCTGTTGTGCAACGGGTCATGTCAACCTGAGACCGAGCACTTCGGTCCAATCAATCGACGGGAAAAACAAAGATTCAATTCAATAATCCGTCATTATCCTTTATTTGCGTTGATAAGTGCGTATATATTAGAAGAAAGCTAACCTCGTCGTATTAGTTCTCGAAAATACTTTCACTAAGTGGCCATCCTTCCGCTTAGTACGAGGTGTTACTCGTGGTCCATTAGATACTTTTTACTGCCTTCGTAAATAACTATCAAACTATTATTATGTGGAGTAGTGAAGACGGAAGGCGTATGTAATTTGGATGTTCAAGTGTATTTGCGTTTACTGACACAATATATATGTACATGTTTCATTTCCCAACAAGAAAATCTTATAGGGTAATGTAGGACTGAGCGCAGTGAGTTAATAGTGTATTCATTACCGTATGCATCTTGTATGAGTGAAATGCTTCTATTCTATTATTTATTATTTTTGATTACAGCTTGATTCCACACTATATTTTTGGTACAAGTGTGGAATTTTCAGCGTGGATATCGGTAGCTCAAAATTCGCAGGCCGACCATAGATATCAAGTGTGCGTCGGCGTGGGCTCGAACCCCGGACCATGTGCATGGTCGGCGAGAGTCCTAACCACTGTGCCACCGACGGTGAAGCTGCAATATCTCCCTGTCGGGTTTCTTCGGTACACTCTCATAGGGAACAATGCTTGGTACCGAGGAATCCAGCCAAAAGCATCTGTGTCACAGTTGAATTACTTTTTCAACTAAAAGCGGTAATACGGATATTATTAAAAGTATGGTCTACCTGTAAACTGAAGAACTCTAGTGTAACACGGCACCACATATAGACAGGTATTCTTTGTGTTGTAAAATTCCAGCGGGTACAGGTATAATTCATGGACAGAGGTGTTTGTTGAATGTGGAAGTGTCCCATTGTCATTTAGATGGAAGGCTGGCGAAATGTGATACCTTACACACGCACCTTCAGATGCAGGCATGTGTTACTTCACGTGAGCTCTGGGCCACATCGAGAGGGCATTCCTTTAAATCAACCCTCCCTTGTACGCTCAATTATTGTTCGTATATATGTAATGACTTGGCGCGTTTCCTAGTTTGTCTATAGTATCGGAACAAACATAATATTAAGGAATACAAATGAATTTTCTTAGAACCAGTGGTGTTCGTTCTCTAGTCTTAACTGATGTAACATTGACTGACACGATAAAAGCAGTAGATTGTAATGTGATGTGTTCTGTGGCTGTGAATCGTAGTTGTCTAGTTTTGAATTAATACCATGCGTCTAACCTTATTAACCCACGGGCATGGTTCTTCCTTCACGGTACATTACGATATCTAGAAGTCAGGAGCACACTGTATCCGGCAGATCTAGTTTTACTTTACGACTAATTGATGAGTCAGCTGGTGTTGTGGTAGTAGAAAAAACAACTCCAAACCTAAGTATTTTCTAGATATAAACATATTCACTTACTTTGGCGACAATTTAATCTTTTTACCAAAAGCCCTAGGGATATCCACCCCTACTTAGTGATTAAAAACTAGAAGTAAACGCCATTTTACTAAGTTATTCAAAAGACAGAATTATGAGTGAAATACTACTCGGATACATTTATTCTAACGTAACTGAATAATGATAATCACTTAGCCTATCAGCAAGCCGTTTACTTTCAGTCATAATTTAAACACAAATTTACTTACTCGGTAAATTAGTTGTTTCAGGAGACTCCTGTAAACCTGTCTTCGAAATACTTTGTGCGATTATGTTTTACTCCAAAATATGTGTATCCTGGCCAGTTGATGTTACCTATACAGTTATACTGTTATTCAGTTACACTGTCTCATTTACGTTCCTATCAATCCAAACATCCTTTAAACTACTAACAAGTTACCATCACTTCTAAATAAATAACCTTAACTATTTACATGTAAGCGATGCTAATAACGTTATCACTTACGGAAAGTTTCGAATAATCATTTTTCCCTTACGTGAGCACCTGTTTCAATTTTAACGGGTAGTTCCAACATTTGACTACTGAGTTAGTGCGTTTCCTCATGTACCATCCTTCCACTATATAGCTGCTGACAATAATTATTGCTAACAAATTTATCACGAGAACAAGAATGTACTGCATATTGACGACAATGTAACTCAAAGGCGGACGTATCTTCTAAACGCGCTACTCAATACAACACATGACCCCAATCTCCCTAACTCTGAAGCTCACAACATTCTATAAAGTTAGTGGTCACTATTAACAAGTGGAATGTCCATTTGAGGTATAGGGAATAAATTCATTAGTGATTCAACACAGAATACAAAATCAGCGACACTGGAAACCACTTTCTTCAGCAACGAATCCCATGAGATCACCGGAATTACAGAGTAGCTAGAAAAGAAAACAAGTGTTCACAGGATGTATACACGAATATAACAACTAATATAACCATTAACGAATTAGCACAGTAAGAATTAATGGAAGTTCGTGTCAATGTGCGATTACATCAGTTACTTTTTTGACACAAGTGGATATTGAAACAAAGTAATAAGAAGACGTCTGAATCGCGTGGTGTTGTCTTTGCGAAACACATTTAGGACAATCTGGTTACGCATACACTTGCAGTAAGCATAGTTACAATGCATGTATCCTGGTAATAATATTCTGTATGAAAATAAAGACGATTATTCTTACTTCAACGATGTGACATTCGCTCATCCGAGTGTGGCATGTTTCCAAAGGTAATGGGCGGCATGAATGATTATTCCAGTAGATTCATCCCCGCCAACTTCTAATCTGCACCTGAGATCACCCTATTTACGACTCGAGTCTGATTCAGAAATTGCTTATTCTAATCACCACTCAAATATATGATCATAACACGCTGACATGTATAGAAACCGCTAATGGTCCGAACATAGTGTTTGGACGCTCCTGATCGATTGATACAGTAAACGGCATCCAAGCTCAACCATAACCCGTTTCTCAGCTGAGTTTAGTGACACAATATTACCACTTATCCTTCATTATCACACTTTTTATGGTTTCTACCTTCATTGTACAGATACTACAGTTAAATGTGGACCGATTGTTGAGTCTTTAATTTTCGCATAGTTCAAGCTGGTACCAAATATTTAAAGTTGCTACACTGATATAAAGATAAGTGCGTTGGGATATAGTGCATCTGTTATAACAATACAGTACTCAAAATCTGGTTCAGCTTATCGGGCCACACATTCAACTTTTCACTCCACGTATGGAGAACCACGCAGCATAATCAACCCTCACACTATAGGGTTGATTTACTGCCACTAAGTAACAGACCAGAAGTCCATTAAAATTATCTTACGCTCCAGTATTATTACAATAATGTGAAGCTAAGGGTTGGCAATAACACTCTTATATAAATAGAACTGAAAACCTTATTCAAAATTCTTAGAGCCTCAAGATAAAAATGATTATGAGTAGTATATCAAGAACTAAAGCAGTCATACATTTCTCTTTAGTCCGAAAAGATATTATCACTACGCGTCAATATATCTGTAACACTTTGTCGCTGTGATAGTACGTAATCCCATATATCTAATAAACAAATTAATATGGTAATAGTACACGTTAGTTGGTATTATTCCATAGGTAAACTGAAATCCTTAATATTTTGGAAATAATAGCTGACAAAATGGATAGTACTAACCAAGTAGAACAAAATATATTGGGATCTTTCGAGGAAATTGAAGCCCAAAATTGTTAACCACGAAAATATATTTGAAAATACGCGATGTAGTCAATGTTCACAAAACATCAATTCACATGGACCAGTAGAAACAAAGAATTTTCGTGAGTACAACTTTTTTCTAGAATACATACTACTTAAAATATTGCACAAAAATTGGAGGAAAAAAATTTGTTGTGAATATGTCGTTACAATTTTTTAAATTAAATTATTTTATTTGTGAAATAGTACCCAATTTATTAACATGATTTTTATAGCGGGTTACTTTTAAAATCATGAACGCATGATTTTTTTAAGTACGTAATACAACACTTTGGGAGAATGAAGAGATAAAAAACACAATTATACGATAATTTGATTCGCGGTATTTACACATTTGTCTTGAAGCAAAGAAATTAGGAGATAAAAAGAACGCGGCATCACGATGGCGTTACACAGTCCTATCATCGTCATCTGTAATCACTGTCGGATGTGAATCAGTGTTATCGACTCCCAGCTCTAAGCTCTCCCTGTTATTTGATTCTATCGTGTGAATTTCAACAGCTTGATTTTCAGTCAGATTTACAAGATTGTCAGTAATAATAACACTACTGGTGTTTAAAATTGGTTTACACTCAAGTTCTGTTGTATGTGGGGCGAAATCTTTAGTCTCGAGTATATCAGTATTCACTGGATGAGATACAGCAGGAGATGATGGGATATTTAGTTCGCTTGCTGCTTCATCTAGTAACTGAGCAGCACCAACATGAATACTGTTACCAGAAGTAATACAGTTCGGATCTGACATAGATGAAATACACTCGGAAGCCTCATCCAAGGAAAGAAGAACTTGAGTTCTTGATGTGGTGTTTGAAGAGACCAGCGGTTGTGCCTGTAGACTGTACATGATTTGTTGATGACCATCCACATTAGCGATTACAGCACCCATATGAGTACCTAACAGAGCACCGGCTTGCTGTAGAAACAAGGTGGGTCGTTGCTAGGGTTAGTAGATAGGAGTAAAGAGAGAAAAATAAACATCCACGTAAAACCGTCATATTAGATAACAAAAATCTTGACGGATGTTTACAAAACGACTATGCATATTGTAGTACACACAACGTACAACAGTCAAGGATGACGTATGAAGAAAGATTATGAATATATATTTAGGCTTGAAGATGTAAATGTATATTATATCATTGAAAACATTCACTATGCAAATTAAAGAAACAATGAATATTTCTCACTGTACAACAAATAGTCAATCAAAATCGAAATGTTTTTGAAAGACTCCGCAACATGCACATATATAAATGTAAAATGCTTGTTGTTATCTTGGGTGATTAAACAATCATTGTATAAAAATGTTGGCAAATACTCAAAGTAAACACATACACAGAATATCTAGTTGAATTAACAATAAAGACAGTTTGTACACAGTATGCATGAGGTATCCTTTTTAAGTCAATTGATAAAATAATGAAGTTTTTTAGAGGACATGTAATTAAAAAACAATAATATCACTATAATTATAAACGCAAGAAAAACAAAAATATCGATAGATGTGTTTTTTTGATTGCTTTATACTCATTCTCCTGATTTTAAGTGGAGCTGCCCATAAGTTTCCGCCTTTGAAATTTATATTTTAATGTTATAACCTCTCCGTCAGGCGTGAATCTGGTAATCCCACCTGTAAACAAAGCTGCTATAGAAACTTGAGAGAGATGAATCTCCTTGCACTTAAGGAATATGTCAGTGTGGTCGCATGGAACGTCTGTACCATGTACGAGATTGGCGAAGCCGCCCAGATTGCAATGTAGATGAAAAGATACGGAATCCAAATACTGGGAATATTTGAATTGGTCTGGACTCACCAAATTGTCAACGTGGGAGTAAGTGATATACTACCTTCACCACTACCACCAAATAAACACCGAGGTCGTCACTATTATGATGTCACCAACAAAAACGAAGGACTTGATGCAATGGTAGGAGACCTCGACCAGATTCACCTCAAAAGTAGGATAGTGTCAGACATACAGCGCTATGCACCCACAAATAACGCAGAACCAGGATAGAAAGTAGAGTTCTACAAACTACTGTAGGCAACAGTGGACAATTCTCCAGTGGATTACATAAGGATTCCAATGAGCGACATGAACGCCAAACTGGGAACAGACAACACAGGAAGAGAACTCATCATGGATAGAGAAGCTCTCGGAGGAATGAATGAAAATGGGGAACTCTTCGCCGACTTCTGCGACAGCGTATACAAACACAAGGATATCCACAAAGCTGCATGGGTGAAGCGAAAACCGAAGTGACTTCATCTCAATGCTGCTCAAAGAAGTGGAGACGCAGCTAACTGAACACAAAAGTAAGAAGAAGAGTAGACGTTGGCTCTGACCACTATCTCGTATAAGGGACAATCCAAATCAAATTAAAAGCTTTCTAAGAAACAGGAGCTGCAGACAGACCACAAGCCAAAATTCAATACTCAAAAACTGAAGGACCAGGCCACAGAAGACATCTTCACTGCAAACATAAGGAAAAAGACGGAGACACAAATCAACACTAGCGAAGAGACAAGCATGAAAAACACTGGAACAACCTGAAAGCGCTGTGGGGGCGCGTCTGCGTGGAAGTTCTGGGCAAAAAGAAGAGACAGGACAAACAGTGGCTCGCTACAGACACATGAAGACTAATGGAAGATGGCGAAACAAAAGGTTATTCAGTGCATCGACGAGTAACAAAACAGGAGTTGAATGCAAGCTACAATACACTGAACAAAAGAGTAAGGAAGAGTGTCAGGAAAGACAAAAGAAAATATTATGAAGCCGTAGCAAATGAAGCAGAACAAGTTGCAGGCAAAGGAGACTTCGCCACACTCTACCAAAAAACTAGATTCCTATCGGGGAAATGTTCGACACAAATTAAGCCGGTGAAGGATGACAATGGAAAGTCAATCACCAAAGAGGTGGAGCAAAGGAAACACTGGGCTGAACACTTCAAAAGACTTCTAAATCGACCGTCACCCACAACCCGCCCAATAATACCGATAGTGGAAGCAGAACTACCAGTGAACATCAACCCTCCGACGAGAACAGAAGTCCTGAAGGCAATCAAGATGCTCAAAGCTGGTAAAGCAGCAGGGCCATATGGAATCCCCGTAGAAGCATTGAAAATGGACTCAGAGACATCAGAGGACTTGATGACACCACTACTGGAGAAGGTGTGGAAAGGGGGGCAAGGTGACCGAACGTTGGAATAAAGGCTACTTATTCGAAATGCCGAAGAAAGGAGACTTAAGTCAATGCAACAACTGGCGCGGAATTATGCTCCTGTCCACTCCAAGCAAAATACTAAGCCGCATCATCCTGGAGAGAATCAAACACGCCAACTTGGATGAAAAGCTTCCACCGGATTCAGGAGAAACAAGTCATGTATTGATCAAATCACCACACTACGGATCATCATTGAACAGAGCTTGGAATAGAAGTCACCTCTCTATCTCAACTTCATCGACTTTGAAAAGCCTTCGACAGGGTTGATCGAGAGGCATCTACTTCGCTATTACAGGGTGCCGCTGACAATTATACACCTCATCCAACAGTTGTACGACGACAATGCTGCACGCCAAGTAATCCATAACGGGAAACTTACGGAATCCTTCGAAGTAAAAACGGGAGTAAGACAAGCTGACTGGCTGGCTGACTACTATCTCCAATGATTTTCCTGATAGCAGTAGACGGGATAATGCGACAAACAGCAGGTAACTGGGAGACAGGCATTAAATGGACCCACACAAAAACTTGGAGGATCCGGACTTCGCCGATGATATATGTCTGATTTTCCACAAGCTGGAAGATATACAAGTGAATAGGCAACAACTTGACAGGGGAAGCATCCAGAGAAGATCGGTGAACATAGAGAAAACAGAGGTGATGAAGACTCCTGGCCAACCGCAACAACAACAATCAGCCAGCATAAATGAGAGGAACCTGAAAGAAAGAACCTCCTTTACCCACCCACCTACCTGGGAAGCATCGTTTCAACTGCAGACGAAAGGAACTGTCGATGATATCAAACCAAGGATGAGAAAAGCAAGACAAGCTTTCATTACTCTCAAGTCTGTGTGGAGGTCAACAGCACTCAGCATCAAAAATAAGATCCGGATTTCCAACTCCAATGGGAATTCACTGCTACTCACTATACGGACCAGAGACTTGGCCAGCGCGTCATAAACCGCATCTCAAACAAACTACGGACCTTCATCAACGGCTGTCTTCGCTCAATATCACTCAAGATCGGATGGCCAGAAAAGATCAGCAACAGGGTGGGATCTCTGACAATGAGCGAGGCAACCAGGAACCGATTGTGCAACAAATAGGGAGGAAGCAGTTTTAATTTCATTTATTTCTTATATTTGATTACAGCTTGGTTCCACTCTGTATTTTTGATACGAGTATGAAATTTTCAGCATGTGGTATGGGTAGCCTAAATTTTGCAGGCCGACCATAGATATCCGGTGTTGGTCGGCAGGGGGTCGAACCTCGCACCATGTAAATGGTCGGCGAGAGCCCTAACCACCGTGCCCCCGACGCAAAGGTGGATTGGTAATACTCTGAGAAAACCATCAAGTGACATCACTGGAAATGTCCTCGTGTGAAACCTGAAAGGTAGCGTTGAGTTTGTCGTCCAAGGGTGACTTGGTTGAGGTCATGTGAAGAGGAGATGAAAGCATGTGTGCAAACCTGGAGCCTGGTGAAAACTCTTGCAGGGAACCGAACTTAATGGAGACATGCATGTAAAGCCCTATGTTACTCTGGGAAGTGAATGAAGTATTGACAAATAATAATAAAGACTTCACACCCACAACTGCTTTTCATCCATTCACATGTTTTCTGTAATAATTATCGGTTCTATTATTGTTGCTGAATTTATTGAAAATATTATTAACTGTGCATCCAACTTAAGTGACACGGGATCACATCACACATTTTTCGTCTATATACATACATAGTTTTAAATATAATATCTCCAGTATGTATACTCAAACAACGCGTAATCTCGGATACCTAAATTTATTATTTCATAGATCCGTGTTCTGTTGGTGAGACTATGCACTGCTGTGTGTTAACTGTAATTGAATGTCTATACGCTGGCAGAAACTTATTCTATTTTTGCCTACTGAATATTAACTATTGTAAATATGAACATTAGCTTTCGATTGTTCTGCGGTTCATCAGTTTGTATTTGTTCCGCTTAATTCAAAGTTCGGTTTCGCTTACAATACAATTCTCAAACTATCATTTGTTCTTATTAGTACGATGTCGTTCGTATTTGGCCGTATAGAGAGTTTAGCATATCGTAGAACGTAAAAACCTGGATGTACCATAGTATATTTTTTGGATTTATATGCAGGAGGATGTAAATAAGTGACGCCGAATATATCAGATAGGGCATCCACGTTCTCTTATGATGACTCACCTGCTATGTAGCAAATCATATAAACTACCAGCTTTTAAGTGTATCCAGTGTGAACATTCCTGAAAATTTGAAAGATAATGCCAACGTACTTGAATACTGAATGATCAAATCATGGTCGTTTGCTCAAACCCAACTCTATATTTTGGTGGGAGACATCGATAGTGCAGCCATCATATCATCGTTATTTATTCGTTGGAAGAAGGAGAAACCTGTAAGAAGCATTACTGTGATTTCTTTTTATGACATTTACTCTTAGACTATGAGTAAACATTTTGGGTTACAGCTTGATTCGACACTGTATTTTTTGTACAAGAATGGAATTTCCAGCATGGACACCGGTAGCAGAAATTTTGCGGACCGACAATAGATATAAAGTGTGCGTCGAAAGGCGACCGAAATTCGGGTCAAGTGCATGGTCGACGAGGGCCTCAAAAACTATGCCCATCGGCGTTTTGG